TGGCGCGGGGCGGGGGTGGCCGGGGCTCCGCTCCTTCCACCTCTGTGCCCCCGGGCGTGAGCGTTGCCGGCCGCAAAGAGGACGCACTGGGACCCGCACGTCTGCACCCGCGCGGCCCGCAGCCCTTCAAGTCAACCTTCTCCTTATCCAACCCTTTCCCCTCGCCTTCAGTCTAAAGGCCCAAGTTGAGTCCTTTCTTCCTTTGCAAAAGGCTCCCCCACCCCCGACCTCACTGAGGACGCACTGGGACCCGCACGTCTGCACCCGCGCGGCCCGCAGCCCTTCAAGTCAACCTTCTCCTTATCCAACCCTTTCCCCTCGCCTTCAGTCTAAAGGCCCAAGTTGAGTCCTTTCTTCCTTTGCAAAAGGCTCCCCCACCCCCGACCTCACTGGGTCGCCCCCCCACTCTTTCCCATCTCTCCCCCGCAAGCCCCCAGTGCTGGGCAAGTGGGGGCCCTACCAGAAGTGTCTAGTCACGAAGTGTCCCCATTTGGCTGGGGTAGGGGGTGGGGATTCATGTTATAGCAAATAGTCCATAAAAGACACAACACTTTTAGGAACAACTTAAAGAAGCAGTGGGTTGAGAGAAAGGAAGAGAAGCCATGCAGAATTCTGTTTTAGCGCCTGTCATTCCATGCTATTCAGAACAGTTTCACGTTTGAGCGCTTACATGTCTTACTCAACAAAAAGGGAATACACTCGGTGGGGAAAAAGTATTGAGTTTGGGTCCTTGTTTAAAAAAAAAAATTCCTATGAGGGATCAGTAAAGAGTTTTGAGAAAACAGTTCACTCAGTGCTGGCTTATAAAATTCTACTATTGACACAAAGTAAACCACTTTAGATGCATGTTTCAAACATGATGTTTTAAGGTCAAAGGTAAGAGAGAATATATTTCCATGAAGAACGTATGCAAACCGCGGCAAAGCCTGGTCTTACTTGAAATGATTGGAACCAGGGCAAGTGTAGATCTTGACCTGAGATGCCAGAGTAGAGAGTTGTGACTCACGAAGTAACAGTGCTGAAATCCGAACAGAAATGTCAGGGCCTGAATACTATTTCCATCATTGCCCCCGCTAGTAGTTTTCACTTTACCATCACAGCGGGGGGCCCTGAGCTGCAAGTGAGGAGTTTAGTTTTCATACAAACATAGAATTGTTGGAAGGTAAATGCCTATAAATGCAAGTCTTTGAAGTGCAGTTCTTTTGATGGCACTCTAACTTTGCCTTAGGAAGTGTAGACACCATGCTACCTAAGGATAGTGTTCTGAATTTTTAAAATTTTTTCCCGAATAGTATAAGAAAATTGTTCTTGTAACTTCCTAAAGAGAACTTTTTGAATGTGTGCCTAACAATAATAGTAAAATGGAATACCTGTGAAATTAATGTGCACAACCTTATAGAAACAAAAATAGAAATCACTTTCGTACACACATGCAACACACACAACTTATTGTGATAGCATAAGTACTTTATATTCTTGTCATATGGCAGTGAGAGTGAACTTTGTAAATTTGTCAACAGTCATGTTAAAAATATTCTTTCAAAGGTTGTCCTCTTTTCCCTCTCCCATTTACTTTGTAAATTGCTTTAGTAATTGAATTAAATTTTAGGCTTAAAGTTCTAACTTATTTTAAATTTTCCTTCTTTTAAACAGATATTAATGAAAGTAAAATAGAACTTTCATTTTCTGGTTTTCTCTTAGGGATTTGAATGGAAATAACATCACACGGATTACAAAGACAGATTTTGCTGGTCTTAGACACCTAAGAGTTCTGTAAGTGTGTTCTTCCTCTGTATTGTGGAACTTTTGTTTGTTTGTTTGATTTCAAGTGCATGTTTTGAATTGCTATCAGTCTGTTTTTAAAACTGTTCCAATGACAGAAACATAAAAATTTTGAAAGGTTTTGGTTTCCTTTCTTTTTTGTTTGTCATCGTACTACAACTTTTAATAAAAATTTGGGCTTTGATTTTAAGATTGGATGCATGCCATAGAAACAATATAATAGAAGTGACCTCAAATTTTTGTTATACCATGGCTTAAGTGCCTTATGCATATAAAAATGTAAGATAATTGCTTTCACAATATAAATAAGTAATGTGAGACATTTGATATCTTTAGTACTTGTGGTTAACTAGAAAAAAGTGGATCTGTGCTTTATCATTACCAAGATAAAAATGTTCAGGCTTTTTTTAGCAAAGAACAATTAGATATAATTTCTAACATTAAAATCAAGCAATCGGCTTTTCAGCAGTTTTTGGTGAAAAATGTTTACATATAAAAATGCATTGGTTATATTTTAGGTTGTTTCTTATATTTTATATCTTTGTAGCTTTTATAAAATTGTTGCAATATGATTACTTCTTTAATTAGTGGGTTAAATTAGCTGTGAGTAAACTATTACCTGAGAGTCAGTGTAATGTAAAATTGTTTTTACCCACAGGATGGTTAAGTATTGACATCACAAACTCCAAAGTGAGGATACTTCAAAAAGTTAGTGGAAAGATTTGTATTAATTTTCAATTACTCTATTTACCCACAAACTTTTTGATGTATGCTCATACTTTTGACCATTATGTATTCAGTGTTCATCTTTTAGGAGACATTTTTCTGTCATTATGAATTCTTTCAATTGCTGATGTGTATCCATAATTCAAAATTGAAGTATGTATATGATAAATTACTGTATATTGACTCTCTAGTTAATAACTCAGTTGCAAATCAGTGCACCAAAAAAAAAGCTATTGAAGCTGCAGTGTCATGGGTTGCTTTTCAGGTACATTATGAAGTTCAGTTTCCACTAGTAAATCTTGTGAGAAACTTCATTAGCATTTTCTATGAAAGTTTTGTAATGTGGACACTATTTTCCCTCCCTGAGTTCTCTTAAATGTATCATCATTACATTTGATTTTGGATCTCAAATCAGGGCAAAATATAACTTGATAAAGGGAAAGAGATTACAAGTTTTCAGCTGCTGAATTGAAACTTATTCAGATGGTGAGTGGGATCCTTAAGAAGCGTGTTATATTTTGCATTTCAGTCAGCTTATGGAGAATAAGATTAGCACCATTGAAAGAGGAGCATTCCAGGATCTTAAAGAACTGGAGAGACTGTAAGTATTTTCAATTCCAAACTTATGACAACATAACTGTAGTTTTAAAAATACTTGAATTTCAAGGATCATGTCATCAGTTTGCTGTCTTAGCTTTTCAAAGTTTACAGAGAAAGGAGAACGAATAAGTGGTTTTCAGACTTAGAACAAGTAGAGTTTCTGGATAAAAAGTACTACCTTGTAATAAAGCTCAAAAATAAAGATTTACTTTCCTAAGACATTTGTTTCCTTCATAATCATTGCTTTGGTACTTAAAGATGCACATATTTTTCTTATTGGTCGTCTAGTTTGTTTTATTTGCTTGTATAGGAAGAAAGGTGGTAATTTTATTTATAGTAATGGTACACTATGGAAAAGAGAAATTTTGCTAATAGTTATTTTAATTGCCATGCTGTTGTTTTGTGTGTCATTAGTGCCATTTGAAGAAATATTTTAAATTCCTACTGATAAAGATTTGCTTTTTGATATTTGTCACCTACGGTGAGCACTGTTAATAACTGGTATTCACAGATTTATTTCATTATTCTATAGTAGCCTTTTAAATATTTCTGCTGAAAAACAGTTAGAGATTATTAAAGTAAGAACTGTGTTATCAAAGTGTGGTCATTTCATATTGACTCTTTTTGTCCAAGAAGATTAAATATAGACTTCAGACTTTAAGATATATTATTTCAGACACAAAATCTTATGGATTGATATATATTACTTAAGGAACTTTTTTTTTTTAATGTTGACAGTGTATGTCCACGAAGGACAAAATTTCTGTTTGAAATAATTAGGATAAGTTAAAGACTTTGTAATTCGAAGTATGAATTCCAAGTCGTATATGTCTTGATTATTCAAGTTTGCATTTTAAGGGCAAGTGAAGGCTCTACTAAAAGAAGCAACAATTATTTTAATAAGCTTCCATTTCTGCTTTAATAGTTACTTTAGGTAAATATAAAATTTTTATTTAAAATAATGAAATGTGACATATTTTTTAGGTACAATTCATACTCATTTACTGGGCCCAATGGCAAGAGTTAATTCTGTGTAATTGTCTACAGTGGGAAAATGGTTAGTTAACTTCTAAGATATTTATATATATACATATTTTTTTACAGTTTTAAAAAAATCTTTATTACCTGAGAATATAATTATAATGGAACTTATAAATGACTTGTGACATTTTGTTCACATAAAGCATCTTTAAAGAATTATGCTTGTAAATTTGATGAAGATAAAAATAATGATAATATGTAGGCTATGTTTTTATCACCTCAAATAAAACACCAAAAAGTCTATTTTAACGTAAAACTTTTTCTGTGGTAAATATTACAATATAGAGAATATGATTGTGGTATTCAAAATAAATTTGAAATCACTACTCTGAGCTAGTTTGGGGGAGAAATAAAAACAAGATAAACACTTGATTGAGTTCATAACCTATTTCTAACTATGTAAAAATATGTGAAAGTATTTATCCTTTGATTTCCTTCATAGGCTTTCAAGAGTAGCTTGAATTCCTAGTGAGTAACTTGCAAAGATATTTTTATTCCATCCTTTTTAAAAGAAGTATTAATATAATTTAACTGTTTGCTAAGATGAATAGATAATTTAAATTATCATTTAAACATTAACGGGTTTTCAAGATTAACCTTTAGTCATCTCATGGAAATATCTGTATTTTGTTCTTAACTTCCTGATCATTGAAAGACTCTTGATGGCTTTGCATGCAGTCTCTATTTTGTTATATTGTAGTTTTAAATATTTTTTCGGGACAGTAGAAGAAAATAAAACTTTCTCATTATTTTCCAAGCCACTTCAGAGTATCATCTAAACTTTCATCTTGAATAAATTAAGTTTTTCTAAAAATTATTAAACAGATGCTGTATGATCTGAAATTTGATTAGAGTTGTAAATAGGTAGTATTTTTTGACTTTTACTTCCCCTGGGAATGTCACTTCATCTCAGAAAAATTTTATGTTCTATTAAGTCAGATGTTTCAGAGGGAGAGGAGGATTTGTAATTTTGAATGAAAACTAATATATATGCAGGACTTCTTTAAATCACCCCAGCTGTTGGCCAAGAGCAAATATTTCATATTTGTGAGGAAAAGCTGAGAAAATTCCTTTTGTTTACAACTGCCAAGTCCATCTGATGGAAGCACATTGTTATCTGACAGCCAATTCATCTCCTTGGGACTCTGGAATTCAAAGCCATTTCTTAGGAACATTGTGGATACACTTTTCAAATATTTATTTTTTAAAATACATTAAATGGCAAGGCAGTTTTGCTAAAGAATGCATTCAAGTAATTGTGAAACAAGCTATTTTAAATTTTGTTCAGTATATTGTTTTAAAAAAATAAAAGTTAAAAATAAAGGCTACCCAGAGAAATTCTATAATGAAATTACTATGACCTTGTGGTATATGTCCTTAGTTAGCATCATTAACATCAAAAAAATTGCTTGCTTTTCCAAAAAAGCTGCAAGAGACGATGTGTGAGACAGGAAGTAATCGATAAACTAACTAATTTCTAACTATGTATTTTGTAAATTTTTATGGTTTTTAACAATTTAGGTATGAAATTATAAATTGGAACTCTAAATTATGGAAAGGTGTATTAATGCAGGTTTATGTTGTAAATGCCATTCATACAGTGAATAGTGATTTAACTTTCATTTCTTGTATGAAGAATAAAAAATAAAAACATTAATTTTATTCATGTGTAATGTATGGTTCTAAGTTATTTTCATTTTAAAATGATAAAAAAATTCCCAATGACACTGTTTGAATATTTCAAAGTTACACTTTTTTTTTCTTCTTATTTTATACCGATGGGGTTTTAACTTGATCTAGAGAAAGAAGACAAATCTGAAAACAAGATAAGATCTGGGCCTTTTAAAAATTCAGCTTTCTAATCTGCAAGAAACAGGACCATGTTGTTATCATAAATTTAATTTTAGCATGGAATGAGAAAGTTATTTGTAAAACAAAGCATTATACCTACAAAAGAAAGTTATTTTTCTACTTAAAGAAATGGATTAAATACAGAATTTTCAGTCAAAATATCAAGAAGTAGATGGATATTAAAATCCTTCTATCCTTCTAGCCTGTTTCCCCTTCTAACTCCCTCTTTCTCTCCCTTCCTTCCTTTTTTCCTTCCCTTTTCATTCCGTTGTTCCTTTCCTTTTTCCCTCCCTTTTCCTGCACTCCTTTCTTTCTGTTATATGAAAAATAGCATCAGATGATAAGGAATAAGTTTTAATGACACCTACTCAGCACGAGCACACATTACTTCCTGTTTTGATAGTTTGCTACTATATTCCAAGAACTAACACAGGCAGTAGCAGGATTCCTAGGATGCCCTATGTTGCCAGCAGTACCTGTTTATCTGGAATGATAATGAAGTCTTGAGAATGTGCCTCAAGTAGACTTTTTCGCAGGTCTTCTATTATTTAATCAAAATGTTCAAATGTAATTAAATGTAGTTAAATGACTGGTTAATTCAGTGGAAGTTGAGGAAAACAAACTACAAATAAGCTGCAATAAAGAATCAGAACACTTATGAGGTATATATATTTTTATGCATCACAGAAGATACCCATGTGTATTGGCAATAAATTCTCCATGCAAAATTATTAATTCAAAGCATTTCTTGGCTGGCACATAAAGTCCTAAAAAGAGATAACACTGGGATCCAGAATTTCTGTGGGCTGGTGTAAAATCCTGTTGTTCACTTACAGTTTATGGGATTTTAATGCAGTAATTAAGTTCTATTTTATGGCCTTTTATGGGGACCCAGGCCACTTGAGGGTTCTGCTAGTGAAAATCATCTTTTTGAAAATTCCTTGATAACACAAAGGTAAGAGTATGGGAAAGTTTTTGAAACTGTTTAGGGTTATCATTTTTAGGACATTTTGTTATGTACCTTAAGACTCCAAAAATGAAGTGCATATAGCCTGGATTATGTTAGTGAGAACCAATAGCAAACCATGGAAAATCTTGGATATTATTAGGCTTTGCATCAACATTACAACCCTTACGGTAAGGAAATTGCAGAAGTAATAAAGGCAAGCACGTTGACTGTTCATCTTTTCCCACCAATAATGTGTAAATGTATTTTTTAAAGACAAATATTAGCTTTACACTCTTCCAGTTTTAGTATCTTTGGAATGAAATGACATATTTCCTTTTCCTTTTGTCATTTGATATTCATGCTTCCTTGAAAAATGAGTCCTGAAAATATTATTACAATAAAGCTATGCATGGGATCCTGGAAAATAAACCTGTTAACTTAGGTATTTTAAAGTTTCCACCAAGTTGATATAAAGAAAATACTCATTTTAATTTAGAAAATTATAATTATTTTTTTACAGTAGAACCCAAATTTGAGTGAATGCTATACTCTCATGAAAGGATATTTAAAAGTCACATTTATTTCATATTGTTAGTTTTTTAAGATTTTGCTGAATTAGTTCTCCCCGCATGCACACACGATTCATTCATAAGCGTGTGACAGACAGCGTGAGGCTGAGCAGCTATGATGCTCCAGGGTTTTTGTTGTAGGTCGCTACACATGAATTCAAGAAGAGAATATGTTGTGGAACAGGTCTGAAGGAAAGCACTGTTTATCCTCTGTTCATCAAGGATGTAGAAAACTCCTCTTTTCACTAATCCTCCGTGTTTACAGGCAACACCTAACACATACTTTTTCTTAACGTAAGGGCAGACTAACTGCTAATCTCCTTAGAAAAGAATGCAAGCGCATCTCAAAAGAATTGTTCTCTGGTATCTTTACAGCGAAGTTTGAAATCACTGCAGTCATTTTCTTGGAAAGCCCCTTTAAAAACACATCAAACTTTGTATCAGAGGCTGAGTATGTACATAGCATAAAGTAAAAATGGTATCTTTACAGCGAAGTTTGAAATCACTGCAGTCATTTTCTTGGAAAGCCCCTTTAAAAAACACATCAAACTTTGTATCAGAGGCTGAGTATGTACATAGCATAAAGTAAAA